AAGAAAGGAACAAAAATTTAAAAAATGAAATGGGGTGAATTTGAAATTCAGATGAGATGCACCCTGAGTTATATTTTTGCCTTTCAATTAAATACAGTTTCTCCTGTGCTCCCACCAAGATGAAACCCTACTGGAACTGAAATGTGACTCTTTGCCTTCTGCACTTCATGGGTCCAGTCCCAGTTTTACAGGAGCTGGTTGCTCTTTGTAACTGGTGCCTGTTTACATGGGTGACTCTGGCTGCATACACTGACACTGGTGACAAAACAGCAACCTCAGGAACAGGACAGTGTGACAGGCTGCTTGTCTCCTGGCAAGCAGAGTGGACTTGGATGATCACGCAAATCACCTAAGTGCAGGTTTGGAGCTGGGAAATCAGGTGGGACCAGGGACCGTGCATTTCTCTTGATTTCCCAGGAGACATGGCCAGCACCACCCTGAGACCACTTCTGAGAATGCTGTGCCCGAGCACCTCTGGGACAAAGACAGACATGTCTTACACTGAGACACTGTGGTCTTGGCCAGGTCAGCCCTGATTACTCCATCTGCTCCACCCGAGACTGTAGTTGGGAATCACCTGCAGTCCTGCTGGTGCAGTTTCAAATGATGAGAGATGAACAGGATTAAAACACTGTTCCTCAGCTGTACGAGCCATATTCCAGGTACAACAGGTGCAAGCAGTGTACATTTGCATCAGTGCTACAGGACAAAGGTGTCCCAGTGATTCCACAAAGTCCTTCACACACACAGAAAAGCTGCCCCCACATTGAATATCAGAGGCCCACAGGACACACAGCGGGCCTTCTGGAGCTGGTGCAGTGAACAATTCTGGAGGGGATAATGAGACTTCCTGGAGCCGGTAGACAATGTTAGAAGTGCCTGGGGAGCTTTAAGCATCATGAGAGGTTCTGCTGTGCAGGCAACTAGCTAGTCCACACTAGAAGTGTTGGTAGGTGGAGAAGCCTCGTGGTCTTAGGTACATTCGGAGATTCCAACTTGGGACCAAGTTGAGTTGTTGTCCTAGGTCTGAATCCAGGACTATAGCAAACAGGAAGTGCTACGAAAGGTTTCCTGGACTCACCAAAGCACACACCCTCCTCCCTAACTGTCTGCATTTTATTGTTGTGCTGTGCTAGGGATGGAACCCTGGCCCTCGTACACACCAGGCAAGTGCTCTACACTGAACCACAACTGAGACCTCTGGGTAAAGCCTGGCTCCATCCCTCTCCACACCCATCCTTGTCTCTAGTGACCACTGGCCTGCTCTTTTCTCCCATGACGGAATGTTCCCAGCACATAGAAGGCGTAAATATTTTGCTGATTGCTACCTCACACTCACACAATGATGTGAGTCTGGGCATGGTTAAGTGTGGCTTGTTATCTGGATTCATGAAGGATTTCATCCTCAAAGTCATAAATTAATGGCGGAAACTGAGTCTGGTGGTGGTGGCCAGGGGCAGGGCCTTTGAGATGTGCACAGGACGAGGTCATTAGGGCGGTGTCCCCATGGTTGATACCTTGTGGCTTTATACGAAGAGGGAGAGGCCAGGCAGACAGGCACAGACATACCCATGCTCCTTGTCTCTCACGGCTGGAAGAAGAAATGTTTAAGTTTTGAAACTGGAGATCATGTTTATTTTTCCTAGAAGAACTAGAAGGTATTACACTTACGCTGAGAGGAACTTCACGCACAAGTACTGTACATATCTTTTCAGCATTGACCAGTGGGCAGGACTCAGACACACACACACAGGAAGCAACTTCAAGTATTGTGAAATTCCTCACCACATTTCATTCCAGGCTTGGTGTGGAGTCTTCTGAAATCAGAGACTGGATGGACCGCCCCATCAAACCAAAGAGAGAATATCACCAAATTCAGCTTTTGATAAATAAGGTGAATTAGAAATTACGTAAAAATAAATCTAATTTATGTATAGATGCATATGTTTATTCAAATTAATTCAAGTCAAAAATCCTTGCATGGTATATATCCCAACATTGTAGTAGTAAACCATGCCTTCTATCTATAACAAAAACAAGAGGAGTATTAAGTACAACATCCTCTGGGTTTAAAATCTCTACAACTTGGCAAGAATGTTTGCTCAGTTGAAGTTTAGTAAAAACTTCTTAAATTAATGAGACTACTGGATATGCTTTATTAAAGAGATCAATAGCCTGATAGCCACAGGAAACCATTTGAGACATGATGGTAGAGTTTTATTTTTTATTATTCTGCTCTGTGTTCCGAAACTAAGAAAAGTGTTTCACAGGAATTCAGTTAGGTCTGGTAAAATTCATGTTATGCACACTGCTGATGTACTGTTTTAGTAGCCTCAGCTCATAACTCTTAGCATCTCAGCAGTGCCCACATCTCTGAATGATGATACAATAAACGTATAATTTCTCATTTATCAGAGAAAAATTTGTGGAATCCACCACATTCCTGCACTGCATAACAGGTGAATATTTGAAAATGTCAAAGATCCATTGGACTGTATTCCTACAGTTTGGTGATCAGATAGATGGCATGTATATATGTGCATCAAATGCTGAGCAGCCACTGCAGAAATTATCATAATTATTAATTATTAATTAACATAAGGCTCCCATAAAACCCAACAAGAAAAATCACATCTATTTTAAAATAGATAATGGACATGGGTCAGAACCATTGGATGAGTTATCAATAGAATAACCGTTCCTTTTTGAAAAGATGAAAATAAGTAAACTTTGAGAAAAATATCTTTGACCCTCACTAATTTCCTACTTCTACTTTTCTTTTCAACAATTGGAATGTTTGCATGAATAGCTATGTAGAATTCTAAAGCCATACCTAGTTACAGCTGGATGTTCGTCCTAATGTATACCACAAGTGAAAACCATCTACATGTTACAATATTGTCAGCCCTTTCAATATTTGGGCTTTTATTGGAAGTGTGAGTGTTTAAAATGTGTTCAAATTTGCTGTTTGGGACCCACAGAGTCTCAAATCTCTAGTGCACAAATGTATGGCTATAAATTATAATTGTTCACAGAAAAACGTCTTAGGAAAGCACAATGGACATCTTCACCCTTGTCTTTTGGGGGTAAACACAAGCGTGTTCCTACAGAGGTACCCTGTCCTGGAAAAGGCAGGGCAAGCGCTTTTTTTTTTTTCCTTCCTGTACTGGGAATCAAACTCACAACCTCACGCTTGCCAGGCAGGCGCTGTGCCGCTGAGCTACATCCCCAGCCCCAAGTGCTTTCCTTTTAAAGGAGCAGAAGTTACCTCTCTAGTGTGCCAGGGACTGTCCCCTACTGTGCTTTGAAGTCTTTCAGGCCACCAGACGACAAGCAAGCCCATGCTAGTTTGGGAACACAGTCTCCAAAAAATGAGAATGTAGAGGGGCTGAGGAGACCTGCTCAAAAGTGTGACACCCCCCCGACCCCCGTGTGTGTGACAATGCAGCCTGGGGGTGAAGTAAAACAGCCTTCTCAGGAAGACTGTTGTGAGGGTCTCTAGCAACAGTGCCAAGTTCCTGGTATTGTTAGAGCCTGTTCCTCAACCTCATCCTAATCCTTACCAGTCCCAGCACAGAGAAAGCTGTGAAAAACGGTGACCTCAGCAATTGTGCTTTATTGGGCTGCTGGCTCACTGGAAAACCACATTCTTAATCTATAACCTGAGACCTAACTGTGCACGGCCAAGACCCGGGCAGAAATACGCTACATCCTCATTCTCATGCTACATCCTCATTCTCATAGCTCCTAGCTGGCAGTCCTGACGGAAGAGATAGGGAAACTATCTAATCCCAGGATTTTTACTTTGAGAAATTGAGACCTGAGGTACAGTTTTTAAAAATCTCACAGAACATGTGTTTTCTTGAAAAATCAAGTTTCTGATCAAATGTCTTTGGTTAAGATTAAGTAAAACTAATTAAACATAGTTTATTTCATATAAAAAGATCTAATGTTTTATAAGCACCAGTCAGCATAATGAAAATAACTGTGCCCAAGGTTTATCTGTAGAATATACAAATATAGTAGTAAAATATCCAAAGACATAAACACTTAAAACAAAGCTAAGTACCCACTATTTCCCCACCCCCTGGGAGTATACATTTTTAAGCAGTTACATGAAGTAGGTGCTGTGAATTAGTAGCAGTAAGGAGAAGTCTGATCCTTCCCCACATTCTGTTAGCCTTGTAATAATACCAATTCCCCTACTTGGCCTGGCCTAGTTCCTGTGTCTAGAACAGACCATTCTAGACCAGGATCCCTCAGCTCCAGAAGAATAAGGAACGCTACACAAACAGGAAACGGCCCAGTGGCCAAGGACTAAGACAGATGGCCTGGTCCCAGAACAGTTCGTTTTCAGACTCCTCGTTCCCTGCGCAATTTACCAGCCCCTTGCTCTGTGAAAAAGCTGCTGTGTGGCACTTGGGAGCGGTGACTCCCTCAGGTCTTTATTTTTATAAAGCCTGTCCTTGCTGCAAATTCTTCTCTTTCTCCTTTTTTTCTGCAATAAATTGTGTTGCATTTCAAGAGGAAACATACCTTGTTTACTAATTTGACATGTAGGTAAGTATTTCTTGAGAGTGGCTTATCACATGTATGTGCGTCTGTCTCTTTGCAGGAATTGGCTCAGGGGAGGTCTTTGTGGTCATGATTTAAACAACGTGAAATCAGATAGGATGGAGAACTTGACCACTGCTGAATGTCACCAGCAGGACATCCTGATGTCCTTCCTCTCACATCCCTCTCAAAGGAGGGATTACTGATAAGGTCACAGGTATTCTATGCTTTGACAGGACCACAGGTCCAAACTCCCTTCCAGATTTGGAGAGGACTTACAACTCGTCAATTCATTCTGGCAGTCTGTCAGGCAGACACCAGCCTCTCGGGTGAGTCAATCCCAAAACATTAGCAGCACCAATTCCTGGCTGCCCAGCGACTGGGACCATTTAACTTCCTTGCTTGGAAATGAACCCCTTTCCAGAGGAAAAAGTAGCACACTCTGCTCCAGGGAGGATACAGAACAGAGAAGTTTATTTTACACTATCCATCCAAGAAAACAATCGCCATAAACCAGTGCAAAATGTGCAACAGAATCAGTAAGTATGTCTCAGCTCCGGGAGCCCAGGTGGGTGGACCCCTCTCCCACTCCCCGGCTGGGCGGGCATGCCCTTGGCTGACGCTGCCCTCAATCTGCACCCCAGACAGAAACATTCACCCCATTGGTAGCAGGTTATTCTTACAATTCATACCAGAATGTGTACAAGGGGCTGGGAAAACCATACCGAATGAATGGGCTACGTGATCAGTGCTTAAAGTAAATGCAAGGGACAGCACGGGCAAGAATCCACAGTTTCAATAAATACAAGTGTAACAAGCATGGGTGGGCCTCAGCTCGGTGGAATTAGTCTGTGTAATGATTCAGCATCGTACGAAAGAGAGCAGGGCTGTTGAGCAGTGATTGGCAAAAACCCTCGCAACAACTGATGCCCTAGAGTGAGTCCGCGTTGAACACATTCTGTGGTTTCCTGGGGTCCGCTTTCCCGGCCAGCCCTCAGGAACAGAGGGTGGAGCCGGGCCAGCGTGGCGGTGGCGGCACGAGGCAGGGGTCTGCCCAAGAGCCAGCCATCAGGGTCCAGTGTACTCGATACCAAGTGGCAAACCGGGACTCAATTGACGAGGTCTGTGCAAAAATGCGCTTCTCTCCATTTTCCAAGAAACCAGTGTCTGTAACTCCCGCCTGGATAGCAGTGGTGGCCTCTGGGTCACTCCCTGTCACCCCAAATACCAAGCAAGAAGAGCACATCTCAAGGTCTCACGCATGGGGGAAGTTTCTGTGGGTGCTGCCTGGTGCCTTTCGGATGGACGGTCTCCCCAGGGCCCTGGGTCAAAGGCCTCAGGCCGGCTAGAACTATTGCTTGAAAAACTAGAAAGAACCTATGAGGAGGAGATGCTGGGAGGGAAGGTGTGGGAAGTGTTCCTCTTCCTCCAACACCTTGCACCCTGTAGGTAACACCTGGGACGGTAGCCAGGTGTCCTAGGGCAGAAAATGTCAGGCATTTGTTCTCAGTGGCCTCAGCCAGCCCAGCAGTCCTGGACTAAGCACTAATCCATGCAACTTCGCAGGCCGGGGTCACCCCTGAGGACACGCACGCCGCCTGTGTTACCACTCCGGAGCCCAGTGAGAGATGGCGCAAGGGAAGCCCTCCACCTCTGGAAGAAAAGGAATAGAAGGGGGAGCCCCCCAAAACAAAACAACCCCTAAACCCAGCAACCTAGGAATTGCCTCCCAAGCCAATGCCATCCCAAACACTCCCTGTCATCGTGGTTCCTCTCCTCTCTATTTCTTCCACAGTCTCAGGTCATAAATTAGGGTAGTCTTTCATCAAATAACTTAAAAAAGGAGGAGGGACCATAGTAAGTTGTGCCTGGCTCAGGCCAGTTAGCAGCCAGTTTTGTTCTAGAATCTCAGTCACCATTCAGAAAGGGAGCTTGGAATTCACGTGGGTGTTGGATGTCTTCACGGGGAGGGGCAGCGGGAGGTAGGACCAGGAGGCGGGGAGCCGGGGACATGGCAGGGACACCGGAGCCACCAGGGCTGGAGTGGAGGCCTGTGGACAGCACGGAAGAGACGGCACCGCAGCCCCAAGGCCAGCGCGACTCAGGGGGTGGCCAGTCTCATATTGCACGGAAGGAAGGAGCCCGGCGGGCCTCTTCGGTGGCCGCGATCAGTGGTCCCCACACATGGGCAAGTTCACGAAGGTGAACACGTTGAACTCCGTCATGATGGAGAAGCAGAGGAACACGCCGTACAGGAAGAGGCACCCGCAGCCCAGCTTCTTGTCCAGCTGCCACTTGTTCAGGTGGACGCCAAATACCTGCAGACACAGAGAGGCTCAGAGGGTGCCGGGTGGGGGAACAGCTACCTAGGACCTCAGAGGGGACTCAATCTCTGGCTGCAGTCATCTGGCTGCCTTGGGGGGGGGGGCAAAGGGAAAGCAAACAAGCAAAGTATTTAGGCAAAATGTGTGGCTATTGAAAGTGTCAGGACTGCCCCTCCCACCAGACCCTAGGAACCACCTAGGCTATGAAAGAATACAATACGTAAACCTGCACCTTTGTGTCGGCTGTATTTGTGCTCCTAAACGCTTGACGTTAGACTCCTAGCCTACACCACCTCTCCTGCTTCCTGATGGCCCTTCTGAATTCCCATACTCCAGCACATGTACAATAACAACACAAAACTGGCAAAATTCAGTGAATAATTCCTTGAGACACTAGGGAAAAAAGCATATGGCATTTCAATACTTATGGTTGTAAAAATCCAGCAGCATACGGGTGTGTGAATGAATGCTTCCTATGGTCAGTCCCTGTGTCGGATGAGTTTTTCCCATCAAACACATCAGCAGAATTGAGAATACAAAATGACACAAATGGAGCAACGGCTGAGGTAGCAGAATAGTATAAAGAGTGCATGGTGAATAAAATATATTCTAGTCTCTGTGTTTCATGTCCATGGATTTATGAAGATTTTTATAACCTGAAGCAATCAATTAATTGGAAGCTACCCTTGATGGTTAATTTTGTGTGAAAAGAGGCAATTTTTCCTTGGTTTGATAAATGATTTTGGGCTTGACATGAGGTGTGGCCTTGCTTCTGAGAAGCGGGTGGGCTGCCCGCAGACAGGAGGAGGTGTTCTCGTGGGAGGTGAAACATCTGCAGGTCTACTGCCCCATCCAACAAAGGCAAAGCCTATGTGGTCACCAAAGAGCCTGGAGAAGGGACGAATGGGTGAATTCAAGAATGGAAACAATGCTGCTGACCTACCGTGACAAAGACAGAGGCCAGGAGCAGTCCCACGGAGTAGATGAGCCCCCTGCTGTTCAGTCGAATCTATAAGAAAGAGTCAGACAGTTAGATGGCCCCCAAAGGCAAGTGCTTAGTACAGGGCATACAAGCAACTCTCATCTCTAGGAGCAAAAAATAGACCACAGCCTCGCAGCCATGTGCTGAAGTCAAACTTGGGAGTGTATTTTAGAAACAGGTTTATCCTTGTCTTGTCCACTGTCAGCCTGATCTGGTCCTTACCTCCCACAACCAGCCGTGCTCCAGCTTGACCCCTGCCCAAGACCACTCAAATTCTCCATCATGTCTTGTACGAACCTTGCTGTCTGCACGACACCCCATCAACCTGACTTCCCTCGAGCCTCTGCTCTCTCAAACTCATCCTGCTTTTAGGGTGAATTTCATCACATGGGTATGCGAACACAGGGGAATAAACTTTTTATATCTCTGCATTACAATGTCTATATTCTGTCCCTACCTTGAGGGGACAGGAGAATGAGATGCTATGTGAGCAAGCACAGAAGAGGAAGGAGTTAAAATTCTATTTCTGACATTAGTAGAAGGATTTTGGGGGAAGTGGATTTCATAGTGATGCAATTTTTGGAATCTTACAGACAATATTATTCACTAGAGCTTTTGGCAGTGATGGAAACGTAGCACATCTGTGCTCTCCAATACGCCAGCCAGCACACACACATGGTTGTTGAATGGAAGCCTGAGATGTTTCATCTGGGTTATTTTTAAAATTAAGTTGGATTGCATTTAAAGAGCTACAATGATTACTGCCTACAGTCTTGGGTAGAGTAGGCAGAGCACCGAGGGTTTGATTTGGCCAATAAAGGTCATAGGGTTTCTCCCACACTGTAGAAAGGATGCTGCTTCTGCCCTTGATCAAGGTCATGAGGCTGCCCTGAAATAGAAGGGGTGCTCAAGAGCAGAGGACCTGAAGGGGAGGTGCTGGACAGGGGCAGCATGTCTCCTGGAAACTTGTGAGGGCTACATGATCCCAGTCCCTCCTAGACCCCTGAGTCAGGGATTCTGGGGTGAGGGCCCAGCCTTCCATGTTCTACAGCTCTCCAAGTGGTTCTGACGCATAGGAAAGTTTAATAACCATGGATCCAGTATCCTCCACCCCTCAACACACGTGGCAGCATCTCATTATACAGAGATCTAGAGAAAGTTCAAAGTCTAAATCCACTTCTTTTGATCTTTGGGGGTCCTGGGAATGGGACTCTGATGCTCATTTTTGCTAAGCTGGTTGATACTTCTGGAATAATGTTCCAGAGCGATACATTCCTTACTATTCTCTGTCTCTCCCCTGTGTTATTTTTTAGGAGCATTTATAGTTTGTTTCAAAATCCAACCTGTTATTATAAGACTGTTCAAGCATGCAGAAAAGAAGAATTACACCATGTTATTTTGTGATGAACTTCTGAGTAACCTACAGGTAGCAGTATCCTCCACGCCTCAACTCCTCCATGCCCGAATCTCCTTACACAGCGTTCAATTGTAGTTCATGTCTTTTATTTTTAGATGCAACTGTCATATGGTGAAATTCACAAATAATCGCACCATCCTGTGGGTCCTGAGAAACACATGCATCCATGTTGCCCAAACTCCTCTGCGACTCACAGCCCTCTCACCCTTAGAGCTCTCTCTGCCCTCTGGTCCTACTGTGTGTCTGGTTCCTCTGGCTTGTGCTTCTGTGTCTCCTTGGAGTCCTACCATGTGTGCTCTTTGGTGTGACCATTCCTTTATCTAGCACAGTTTGCTAAGGTTCCTTCATGGTTTGATCATTGATCATTTAGTTTATACAGTAACAGTATAAATAAACCATGGTTTGTTTAATTCTCCTGTTGATGGACATGTGAGCTGCTTCCAGTGGGGCGAGTAGAATGTACTGCTTTTGTAGTTCAGACACAAAATGAAAAGTGGCCCATGGTGGCCTTTCTTGTCAATGGGATGATATTTGAGAAAGATAACAAAGGTGGGTCCAGGTTCTGCTAAGGATGCAGGGTCACTGTCCCATAGCTGAGAGCTCTTCCCTGTAGGTGGGCACTTGCAACATTTCCTAATGGGAGCAATTTACCCCATTTGCCTCTCTCATCTTGGCATGGTCCTGTCTGTACATGGGACCTTCAGGTCAGCCAGGTGGCGTACTCACCTCCTTTTCACCTGTGCCCTACCCCTCCTGCCACACCTTTCCTGTGGGGCTGATCTCCCACCTGTGCCCAGGTACTAATGCCCTGAGTGCAGATACTCAGGTCCAGAGTTTTCCTCATCCCACCACCTTCTCCCCTGGCTCACACATTTTAGATGGGCACCTGCTACAGACCCTGAGTATGCAGGTGTGTGGGCTTGTGCATGTGAGTAGTAGGTGGCAGTGACCCTGGGTAGCACCAGGTGAGAATGGAGGCTTTGGTGGTGAGATTGAAAGTGGGGAACATTGGCCAGGCTGGTCTTTGTAAGAGGCCACCATTTCTTTTAAGGCATGACTCGCACAAGGCAAAATGCACAGGTCCTCCATGTCCTTCTGATGAGGTGAGTTTTAAAAAATGAGTGCGTCCAGGTAACTACACTTCAGCATAAGCAGGAAACATTTCCACAGAATTCTCTGTGATGGCTGCAGAGCCAGTTTCTTGGGGCCTGCTGAACCCTTCTCCACTCTGATCACCTCAGGAAGAAGCCTGTGCACCCCAGCTCCATGCAGCTGCACTGTCTCCTCACTCCCTGCCCCAAGACATGAGGCTCAGAGGTGCTGATGTGGAAACCCTTCACAGCAACATGGAGCTGAGCCTGTGGGGTGCTTCCCAGGTCACCCGGTCCTGACACTTCATGCTGTTTTTATTTTCACCTTCAGAAAATGCGTTTTGATCTTGCAATTCCTTCTTGGCAGTGGTTGCAGAGGAAACAGGCCAGCTGCTTCTAAAGTCAACAGGAGCGGAGCCCACAGGGGGTGTGTGTTTTTAGTATGCAGAGACCTGATAACGCCTTGTTCTGCCCAGTGTTCTATGCACTGTCCCGGGGCCGCCTGCCACTGGGGAATCAGCACCCCCAGCCTAGAGCATTCTGATTCCCCCGACTCCTCTACAGCCTGCGGTCAGCTCTACCCAATCAATAAATTCTTCGGGAAAGCTAAGAAGCCCCTGGATTTTTGCTAAGTGTGTATAATCTGGAACACATGCTGCACATTGCTTTGCCTTTTTGTACTCAGGTGGTTTGGACATAGTTTCCAAATGGACGACCCTAACCCCAGCTTCCATTGGGTAGCGTCACTGAGCAGGACGCCTCCCTTGGACAATGCAAAGGGGTGAGAAAGTGAGCAGCCACTTCCCAACAGCCGGTGTTCCTCTGTCCTGTCCTTCCACCAAGCACTCTGTGTTTTGTTCTCTGTTTGGAGAGGAGACAAGTGAGGCTCAGAGAGCTGAAGCACTCACTGCAGGCTGCGAGGCTGGTGACGAGTGAGGTCAGCATTTCAACCTGAGCTTGGACTCTGAGTCACCTTGTCAGGCACAAGGGTCTTCCTCCATACCTCTGAGCCCTCGGAAGTCACAGCTGTGCTCTTCCTGCCTGTCATTTTTGTAGAAATCCTGAATGAATTGTAAGAACCATGGCAGCCACGGTAGCAGATGCCACTCTTTTCCCATCTTCCCATCTGTCTTATCCTCTGTCTTATCTTTTTCAATTGCTGTAACAAAGTACCCGAGACCAGGGAATGTACAAAGAACAGAAGTTGTCTCTTGGCTCTGGACACCAAGGAGTCTAGAGCTGAGCCCAGCCCAGCTGCTGTTGGTATGTGGAGAGGCTCTTGCTGGGCCCAACCTGGTGCGGGGCATCGCCGGGTGAGGCAGAGCAGTAACACTACTCAAGTCTCGCTTCATCTTTTGCTGAAGCCCATGGTGCCAACATGGAGCCTACCCTGTGGCCTCATCCAGTCCTAACACCTTCCCACTGCCAAATGCCATTAACATGCCATTTGGGGGAGTGAGTTTCATGGCATGACACACTCAAACCACTGTACTCCCCACACCCCAATCCTGATGTCACCAAGTGCTCCCAGCGGCCAGCACCTGCGTGCTTTTCCCTGGAAGGTGGAAGTGCCACAGCGTCAGCCCTGGAGCTGCTTCCCACAGTGGCTCAGGAGTGAAGAAACACCGCAGCTCCCATGGCTGTTCAGATAGAGTCACTCAGAGATGAGGCTGCACTTTTCTTCCCCAGAGGCCCGCAGGGGGAGTCAGCAGTGGTGATGGCTTGTTAATGTGGTTTCTGTTGGCTGTGCCCTTCCCACCTGATGTCCTACTGTCACCCTGCACTGTCCTGCTCCATCACCCTCCTCCCTCGAGTCCCTGTCTCTGGACTGAGGAGTTTCTGGGGACCCATATCATGAACAGGAAGACCCAGTCAGCTTTTCAGGTGAGTGAGTCCTACCATTTGGGATCTGTCATAATCCTCTCTCCCCTCAAACACCACCCAATTTTCCTAACCCAGAGGCTGAAATGCAGGGTTCAAGACTTAAGGGGATAGCTAGTGTCACTGCAGCTCTACCGGAGCAACTCTGAGAGGCTGATGCTAAGATGCCACCAAACTGCCCCAGGTCACCTCCCCAGGTCCCTGTGGGAACAGTGCGCACACTGGCAGGAAGTGCCATTCTGTCTTCGCTGTCAATTCCAAACCAACACAGTGTCCATGCGGGGAGCTTGGCAAGAGCTGCACACAGTCACTCCTTTCCAGCCTGTAGGGGCCATCCAGCACCTTGCTGTCCAGGATTGACGGGGATTTCCAGGAAGGGAAGGCTGGTTCCAGCAGGGGGACTCAGGCTCCAAGGACTGGGAGCTTGAGTTGGGACGCCTGCTCCCAAGGTGAGCTATGGTGACATGACAGCCACTGGGAGCAGTGTGCTTCATGCACCCCAAAGCCTCTGCCGGGTGCAGAGAGCACAAGCTCAGTGAGATGCAGCCCTGGCCCTAGCAGGAGAGCTGGGGACACACACAGAGGTCTACATCAGGCTGGGCTCAATTTCTTGGAGGAGGCGATGTCTGAGAAGCATG